GGGCTGAGGGAAGATGGCGGAAGCGCGCTCGTTCAAATCGCCCTCAAAGAAGCAGCCGCAGCAGCAGCCGAGGGCGGGGAGCGCGCACGGCGGTCACGTGGCCGCGCGGGGAGCGTGCGTGCGTGCGTGCCTGCGTAGCCGGGAGGGGGCAGAGAGCGGGAGCGGGGTCACGTGGCTGCGGAGGGACGGCGCCTGCGCGGCCGGCCGCCTCAGGAGACCGCTCTTTCTTGCTCAACACTCACTCTTTCCCTTTCTCTCCCTCGCTGCCCCGCCCCACCCTTCTCGAAAGAGCGCGCGCCTTCTGCCGCGGCTCCGCCCCCGCGGCGACGGGCGCCTGCGCAACGCCGGCGTTCTGGCGGGAAATTGGAGCGCTCTTCCCCCCTTCCTCTTCCCTCCGCCCGCTCGCGCGCTCCAGGCTTAAAAACGATAAAACCCGAAACGAAATTTCAAATCTTTTGCAAAAGGGGGGGGGAAGCAATGCAACTCAACACACCACAGCACACAATGCAAAAGAGCCATCCGCACCAGTAAGGTGCTTCTTGCCACCATGTTGTCTAATTGCAAAATTAGGCCAACTTTCCTTCCCGAAGCTGGGGAAGATGGGCTATGTAGTTCAGCAGGCCAAGCGGGGGAACAGGCCCGGCAGATGGGCTTGGGTGTTGCTTCCTCCCATGCATGCGGTCTTCTGTTGTAACTGCAATGATAAATTCATCCCCAATTAAGGGGTCGGGGAACCCCTAGGTTGAGTGGGGTCTCAACCAGTTCTGCTGAACTACAATTCCCAGTATCCTTTTCCAGGATTTAGGTGTAGGGGATGCTGGGCGTTGCCCCTGAGCAATCTCTGCTGGGTTCCCTGGATTAGATGTGCTGAATGTATGCAGTGCAGTGAACCATGGTTTATTTTAAACCACAGTTTGCCCTAAGCCACTCCTTTCTGAGCAAGCCACGGCTTGTCGAACTCACACCCTCCGCAAAACAGCCTTATGGCTCTGCAACGTGAGATCCTGTAGAAGATCTCTGAGGCAGACATTAAAAACGCCTGGGATGCATCTTTCAAAGGTGGATATTTTCCTAGCCTGCTTTAAACATCCTGTTGTTCCTCTTTCCTAAACAATTGGGTTTATAATCTTGGGTAAAGAGATGATAAATGATAAAGAGCCGGTATGGGGTGGGGGGGAAACCCTGAAATTTCCTCAGCAAGTGATCCCATTGCTAGTTTACTTTACAGGCCCCAATCCTGACAAATTATTCCACCCAGAAATCCAACTTTATCATTACAAGAATGCACCTTCCTTGCTCTTTGTAATGATATTGTGGTGAAATGAATGGATTCCGCATTTCCAGAGCGTTTGTCTGCTGCCATTTGTGCCCCAAAATCTGGATTTTACGCAGCGCAACTCTTCCAGAAGTCCATTTGCAATGCCAACACAATAAAACCAGAGTTCCTTTTTATTCTTCTCTAAAAGGCTATCCCTCCCGCTTTGCTAAAATATATATTCTGAATGGCACTGGACTAAGGGTTTTAGAGGGGCCTTTTAAAAACTGGAGGTCAGTTTTTAGGGGGGAAACTAGAAGGCGTAAAGCATTGCGTTTGGCAGAGGAAACAAAATGATCATGTTTGTTCTTTTCCCACTGCCTTTTGGTATGATTTGATAAAGCTGTATCTCATTACAGGTAGTCCTCAACTTAAGACGAGTTCCATTCCCAAGGTCTGTCCTTAAGTCGAATTTGTATGTAAGCCGGAACAGTAGTATTGTATAATACCGTATAAGTAGTATTGTGCAATGAACTCGAACCCTTGTGCATTTAACTCAAATCATGCATTTAACTCAAATCACTGGAATTTTGCTAGAGCATCCCTAATATTCTGCCAAGTATCTTAAGGTTGAGCTCACCCCCCCTCCCACTTTGCCTGGACTAGATGATAAATTTGCATAGCTCCTCCCTTCCTTTGTATGCGGCCACACCCCCTTCCCTGGTCCAAAAAAGCATCTCTGTAATATTCCGCGAAGGATCCTTAACACGAACTCGCTCGTCCCGCCCTCTTCGCCTCGAGTAGATGCTATATTTGCATAGCCCCGCCCTTCCTTCGTAAGCGGCCACACCCCCTCCCTCGGTCCTCTGCCCGCTCGGCTCTTCGGCTTTATAACGGGAGGCGACGCTTGCGCCTGCGCAGTTGGCGGCGGTCGGGCAGTGGTTGCCCTGGCATCGGCGAGCGGGGAGGCGGTGGCGGCGGCGGGGCGGAGCCGCGTCTGGAGACTCCCAGAGCAGGGAGTCGCCTGCGGTGGACGAGGAGCGGGAGAAACGCCCGGGGAGAACCGGCTGGAGGGGTCCCGCCAGCCTGAGAGACCGTCTGGCTGAGCTGGCATCGGTGAGGGAAAGGAGGCGGCGGCGGAGGGAGGGTGGCTGCTGGGCAGGAACAGCCCCCCCGGGTGGGGAGAGGCCAGCTGACGGATGCGCCGCAGCATCCCCGGTCCGCAGCGGCGCTGCCGTGCCTCCTCCTGCAACCTGGCGCCCCTTGCAGAGGGGATGGGCGACGGCGCCCAGGGGTTGGAGGCGACAGGACGATGGGGATGGTAGTCGCACGCCTTCAGTAGGAGAGCCGCTTTGTACGACTCCAACTCCCATCGCCTTTATCTAGTCCAGGCGTGTGTTTTGTGCCCCTGAAGCCTTCTGGATTTTTATTTACCTCCCCAGAGACGTTCGTCCCCCGTACGGCCGCCAGCTCAGAGCAGCCCGGGGTAAAAAGAATCGCTCGGCGAAAGCAAGCAGTCTAATCCCCAGGTTGGGGAATGTCGCTGGCGGTGCCTTTCCTCTGGGCATAGGGCAAGGGCACAGCTTGAGCTTGGCAATTGCCCTCCCCTCTGGTTAACTCTTTTCCTAAAGAGAGCCTAAGTTTTATGCCTGAAGTGTTTGCATTTTTTTTTTTTAAAGCACGGTTTTCTGCTCATAATGGAAGAGGTTGGTTGGTTTGTCTTTTTAACGAGGAGCAAAACAAAGTCCCCTAAAACAATGTGAGTATTTTGTGTAACCGGGCATGTCAGCGAAAAGTTTGCCTGGCGTGTGGCTGTTTTGAAAACACTGCATTCCGTTTTGCTACTCCCAGTGAAGATACAAAGAATCGAATAATAAGATGAACAAACAACTCAGAACAAAAACACTTAAAGCCTGCTTGGTCCCTGTTAGCTGTATTAGACGGATAGACCAAAAATTAACGAGTTTTAAAACGTCGGAAATGAGAGCATTTGGGAAAGTGTTGGCCACAAATGTGTGCATGTTACTTTAAAGAAAGCATCTTACATAAATAGGGTGCAAATCTTTGTGCATGCATTTAATATCTCTGTATTGCTGATGACGATTTTAATTGCTATTTCGATTCCGAGAGCTGCTTTGGGTTCTCATGAAGGGAAGGGCAGATTGTGCCTTTAAAAGAATATTTACGTACATTTGAAGATGGACTTACCATATAGAGGCATGTATATATTGTACCTTTATGCATGCATTTGAAGGCATGCCTCTATATGCGATGCAGCGACATTTCTAACTCAGCTGTCAAGAGCGCGCTTCTGCCCATCGCCTCAAAAGTGATTCCCATTAATTGAAGTGAGATTGATTCCCTCAAGACCTCTTAAACTATGACTTATGAAGACACGCTTAAAATGAAGGACTGCACTGATTCTTTTCTTTCATGATGGCTTTACTCACACATTTGTGTTAAGTGGAATCAGTTAGACATATTCAGGTATTTCTGTTGCAGCTGGACCTTAGGTTTCTTTGCTGAGAAGTAATTTCTGAGTTAATTTAAGTACAGGTAGTCCCTGGGTTAAGAATGCCCAGTTTAACGACGACCCATAGTTAAGAACGAGCCTATTGTAGCAAAATTCGAGTTAAATACACAATGGTTTGTGTTAATTACACAATACTCCTTATTCAGTATTGTACAATAATATGTTCCGGCTTACATATAAATCCAGTAGAGGCGAATATGTGTAGCTCAGGGTTGAGCTGTGGAGTCCTTGGGGTTCCCAAGGACCAAGCTCAGAAAACCCAATTTACATACAAATTTGACTAAAGGACAGGCCTTGGGAATGGAGCTCGTCCTTAAACTGGGGACTACCTGTATGTTTGCCCCAACTGTTAATTTTATTATTGGTTAGGTTACAGTTGGATAGGGGACAACTCGTGGCGGGTGTATGGATGTACCTTCGGTGGACATATATAAGGCATGTTTGGTGTGAATGAATGAATGAAACTGATGCAAAGAGCAGAATCCAGCTTGGAACTAAGTTTCAGCCGTTGTGAGCAGCAGTTGAATAGTCTGAACTGGAAATGCAGGGGTAGGGAGTAGGGAAGAGGATGAGAAACCCCAGGAAGTATAGGTCAGGAAGACTTGCTTTTTGACCAGGGTAGTAATCACAGAAAAACAGCTGACTGGGTTTAAAAGGATGGGTGGAGGGTTAGTAACAGGCCAAGCTTGGCTAGATCCTGTGATGATCTCATCTCATTTAACTTATTTTCAACCACGCTGTAGCCTCTAGGATACAGACATGTTTGCAGGAATTCCCCATGGTCCATAACTCTCCTTTTCTCTCACCGTCATGGAAATTGGTTGCATTCCTTAGGACTGGGCCACCCATTTTTGTGGGAGTGTTCTTCTAGTTATGTCACTGATATTAACAGCCCCGTGTGATTAATTCAGTGCTCACAATCATAGTAATTCACATCATCATTGAAGGATTTGGCCTGCCAGCGAATGTCTTTTTGAGATAAATTTCTGGATGGGAGAGGTTTGGCCCAGCCACAGTTTATCATCTTACTAAGTTTTCCTAGAAATAAAAGGAAGCTCCCCTCTGCATTTCCAGAGCTGTTGAGCAAAAGTGTATTTCTCCCCCGCTTCCTTTTCCAAGCGGGAATGAAAAAAGATTACCCAAAACACTTGCATTCGGAAATGCTTCTCAGTTTTTTAAAAAAAACAGAAACCAGAAAGATTCTTCTCTACAAAAATGTGGCATATCCAGGAGAAGGATAGGCGGCCATCCTGATTTAAAAATTATTATTTCAACTTTTCATGCGTGCTAGGCGGCTGAAGTCTAGCTATTCCACGGGAGCTGTTACGGATGTAGATTGAAATTGCTTTCATTTTCTGCTGTCCGAGGTAATCTGCAGGAACAATGCCATCAGTATTCCCCTGTCTTTTTTTTTTTTTTTTGGTATCATCACAATTGGATGTTTGAGTGTGTCTGTGTGCTTGTGATACGTTTTTCCTTCCTCTCATTCTTATCTCTTCCTGAGGCAACAAAGAAGCTTCAAGGGAAAAGGAAGGTGTTAAGACTGGGAGCCTTTTGCTTAACACCAATAGCTTTAACCCAAGAAAAATGGTATTTTATTTGACTCCAAGGGAGAGCAGTGCATTTTCCTTTAAAACAAAGCAAAACTAAACCCCAGATTCACTTTCTAAGGTCACTGAGAAATAAGGGAGAACTTGCTGTGGATTAAATCGCCTTTCCTTGACCTAGTTTCCGCCCAGTTGTGTTAAATTATTATTTCTTCTAGCCAGCAACATCTACAGGGTTATAGGGGCCACTTATGGTCTAGGTACAGTTCCTGGTCTCTGTGATCAAATATTTCTGCTGACAAGACTAGGATTGAGCTGTGGCTAAGACCGTGGGGAGCTCCATTTCTGAGGGACCAGTGAATTAATTTATTTCTTAAGAAATCATCTTCATCATTCAAAAGAATCTTCTAGCATCTTGTGAGTGCTCATTTGTCATCTGCAGTCAACTTTTTAAATAGAATATGAAGACTTTTTAAAAAAGAAAATACCAGAATCTTTAATCTGCTAAGAAAGGAGGAGTTAGTTTGCAAATGCTGTACAAAAATCACACTCTTAAAGCATTATCAAAAATGTTACCTGATTAAGTACAGGGAGTGAGCAGTCAGGATTCAAACACCTATATCAGTCTTAAAATTGTGTCTGTTTTGTGTGCACACCCTTTCTGAATCACACATGTCCCTTGTTTACTGTTGCAGTAAGGAATATCTGGAGATGTTTCCCCTGGAAACCAAGTTTGCTATTTGTTAAAATAGATTTTGAGTGTTTTCTTCAGACTGTATTGCTTTAAATTACAAATGGCTTGAAATCTGTGTGGCTTTAAATCCTTGTGCCTCACTGAATTTTTAGGAAGTGTGCTCCCCCACATGCACACACACATATACATTGCTAGCAAAGCCAATAGGTGGCATTTGTCAATAAACATTGATTGGATCCCCCCCTTTAATGTATGTGCGTTCAAAAATCATAGCATGTTTCTATTTGTTTGTTTGTTCGATTTATAGCCTACCTGTCATACAGGAACTCATGGCAACAATTTATGGTTTGGTATAGCTTTCACACAGAGAGATTGAATAGTTCTGCAGTTTTGAATAATATGTGAATGACTGATACAGTATATAAGAGAGATCTTTTAACGGAGAGGGAATTTGTCTTCATGAGAGATGGATCGTTTCAAGAAATGTTCCCAAGATGTTTATTTTCCATGTATGTTTTCTTGGAAGTAGGCAGGAATAATACTTTTTGTAAGAATTGTTTATCAGCAATCAGGTTTTTAAGGGGTTATGATTATGTTACGCGAGTTAGGGACCTTTTCTTGTAACTGATGTTCTTCTAAAGCATTCTGGACCTCAAGGAGAACAGCGCGGTCTCATCTCTTATGGGACCTGTTCATAGTGAAATTTTGAGTGTTGAATGCAGCCCAAAGTGTGTAACTGTGAAAGCATTCCATTGATTTTTGTGAGTTTTGCTGCTCAGCAGACATGCGTAAGCTTGAACTTTTAGCTAAATAGCTAGGAAGTGTTTCATTAATTGGAGAAAAAAGCATAATATATTCTCCTAGGATTACGTAGGAAAGTTCTCGGTGCACAAACATTTCCGCTGTCTGTCTGTTCCTACTTGAAAAGCTTATCCTTTGTCTTATGAGTCATAAGAATGAGAGGATGCAGAGGAGGTGAAATCATGAATGAGATTTTTGTGATCAATCCTTTAACAGCAGGAAAAGACATCCATTATAATTTTATAAGGAAATAAGCTGTTCATGAAAATGAAAAATGGTCATCCGTCGAGTTGTATTCCTGTTCTTAAGTATGGTGGCTTGTGTTACTAGCAACAACCATTAAGCTGTGAAGCAACTGTACATTTTAAAAGGATTATTCACATGGCAAAATCTTTCTGATTATTGTAGCGTACTCAAAATGAAGATGGAGAAGCAACAGTCGTTGTCGAAAGTGACCATTATATGGAAGACTTTTTCCTACAGGTAAAAATCCATGCCAGAAGCAATTCTCCTAATATTTTAATGCCTGTTCTTTTTCTGGTCTACTTGGCCTCAAAAACGCTTTTCTCTTTTCAGAGCAGGTCACTTTTACCAAGAAAATGAGAAAAAGAGCTGCATTGTCTTGGATTGCCCTGAGACTAATAGCACTGCAGACTCTCGAGCAGCAAAAGCTAAATTCAGATGTGTTCGGCAGGATTCCCCTGAGTTTTGTAATCCCTGGTTGATGCCAAACAAGGGTCACACATGCCCTTCCATGCTTTAGGGACCGCCCCCAATGTTTATCTTCTCGAAGAAGCTGTTCTGGAGCACAGCTCTGTTGGAAGAAAAAGTTATCTTACCAAGTCCGTTTCTGAGCCGGGAGTAAAGACACT